TGCAACATGGGTTAGTATGCACCTGTTGAATGAATGAATGAATGAATGAATGAATGAATGAATGAATCACATGGACAATCTGAAGCACCCAGGAACACAAATGCGTACACACACACACATGCACACAACCTCAAGAATCCTTTGGGGAACATGAGTTTTCATATTTCTGTCCTCAGGCTGAATTGCCTTTTCAACATCAACATCTCTTTCAGAGGAAAATACGTAGAAATCATGATGGAATGATCTCCCGTTTTTGTCTGACCCCTCTACCCGCCTCCCTAAACAATGAACAACTTACAAACAAAAACTTATTCCAGATTTGCTTTAATTCAATAGGTCTGGAGGGACGCCCAGGAACTGGTGTTTTAACACGTTCCCTAGGTGACTCTGAGTGCCAGGCGGTGCCTAAGAACCACTCGGTGCCTTTGTGACTCCTCCCCGGGGCGCCTCCCCCTGGACAGCCCTCTTTGGATGTGACGAACTCCTTCTTGTTCGGGAAAGTCTCTGCCGGAGGGTCTCCAGGGCACACTCCCAACCCCTGGCCCACACGCTGACTTCCTTCCTTCACTGTTCCCTGGAGAACTTCCCCCACTGCTGGTGTTTCTTCGTTCTGTCCAATAGAGCAAGCTCCTCGAAGGCACAGACAGACGCCCTTTTGGTTGGTCTTAGGATTGAAGATTTAACGTCTTTGGGCCCCCCGATTCCTCATGTGTAAAATGAGAAAGATGGAAATTACCTGCTGCTGTGAGAACTAAGTGATGAGCATAAACCAATAGCCCGGTACCTGGCATTGTGGGGAAACCAGTCCCTTTGCTGTGAAGATCATAGGTGAGAGTAAAGGTCTTAGAATCAGCCCGGATGGTGTGGCTCAGTGGTTGAGCATCGACCCATGCACCAAGAGGTCATGGGTTCGATTCCCAGTTAGGGCACATGCCCAAGTTGTGGGCCAGTCCCCAGTAGGGAGCAAGTAGGAGGCAGCCAGTCAATGTTCTCTCTCATTGATGTTTCTATTTCTCTCTCCCTCTCCCTGTCTCTCTAAAATCAATAAAGAAAAAAAAAAACATAATTCACACATCATAACCCACAGGGCCTGGGGTTTTCACAAGGAATAATGTCGTCCCTAAGAAGCTGTGATCCTGACCAGCCATCTCACATGAAGAACAGGAACGACCCGGAAAAACTCATAAAGAATGGCCATGGTCATAAATACCAAATGCGATAAATATAAACTTCTGTAATGGTTTAAAGGGATAAAATTAGGCTCCAATAATTATAAATAAACTATTAACAGTAATTACAGAAGTGGCCCACATATACGGTAGTACACATAGAATAAAATATAAATATGAACACAAACATAAACATAGCATATGGGAATTTTAAATGGTCTAAATTTCCTAGTAGACTGTCCAAGAAAGAATGAACTAATGATATGCCCCCTCTCTCCATGCGTCCCCTACGTTGAAAGCATCAAAACAAACAAACAAAAAGTAATAACCTCAGAGAGCCTGCCAATGCTCCGAGTGTGGATGTTGAAGATGGTGACAATGGCATTTCTCATGGGAATAAGAGGCAAGAAAGCATCGCCCCTCTACATTCGAAACTGAATTGGTTCTGTAACTGTAGCTCTTCAGCATGGGGCCGGATTTTGCAAAAATCCCATGATACCAGTCCTAACTTGTGTCCAAGTTGGTGCTTTCTATGCCTACTGGAAAACATAAACGCGGTTGAGGGCCCTCAGCTAAGTTCTTTCAACGGAGCTTGATACCACTGCTCCGGAACCAGGAAGGGGAGCAAAATGCCCCTTGGGATCCACAGAATCCAGAGCAGGACGAGTTGGGAGCGGAGCATGCACGGGGCGGTCGAAAACGAGGGCCTGGCGTGGGCACTATGGCTGGATGGGCAAGTTTTTAAGGCGAAATCGGCCAATTTGTCTAAATGTTGCCATGTGTAATACCAGCTCTCCCTCCTCTGGTCTGTCATCTTGGAGGAAGAAAGAGCTTACAACCCTCAAGGGAATAGGCCACCCAGGACACCTACTACAGTGTAACGGGTGCCTGCCTCTGCACACAGCCCTTTACATCGGGATTCTGTCCTCAAGACACACGCGCCCACAGACACGACAGGAATGGCAAGTAGGACGTCTCGACAGCCCTTCATAGGAGGAGTCCATTCCGCGCTGTGCATCTGCGCTCTGAAACCGCACGGCAGCACAGACCGGCGGGGGTTTCCGAGTCATGGTGGTGTGTGTGTGCTTTTTGTTCCATGTACTGGGGTGACACTGGTGAACAGGATCGTGTAGGTTTCGAGTGTACGTTTCCATGATACGAGATCTGTATATTGTATTGCCATAGTGCTGTTGAGATGTTCTTCAACTGTGAAAGCATCTGTACTGTTTGATTCCCTTCGTGCAAAAGTGAAACCACAGATACAGAAGTGTGTGTGTGTGTGTGTGTGTGCGCGCGCGTCTGTAAGACGACTGAAACAGGGAGGTCTGGGAAAGATACAGTGAATGGGCAATAGTTGTTATTTCAGAGAAGAGTGGGGTTTGTGCCCAGAAAAGATTTTTTCCCCTTTACTATGTACGTTTTTCAGTATGACGCTGTATTAGTGTAGTCGTTTTTTAACTATAACTAACATGAAAAAGAATTACATCAAGGAAGGAAAGAAGGAAGAGAGAGATGTCGGAGGGAAAAGGCAAAACCAAGTCCCAGCAAGTGATGGGAGGCGGTCGGCGGTCCTTGGGGCTGGAGGCTCCCTGTTGACTTGCACTATCGAATAACTGGGAGAGTTTTGATCAACAGTCTCAGCACCTCAGCATGTGAGTTCTATTTTCTTGGCCACTATCTATGTTACTTTATTTCTTATACCTTCATTCTAATAATATATATAAAAAAAATCTAACTTGGAGAGCAAAGGGTCAAAGAAAAATCCTGCTCCAAAAGGATTCGGAAAATGTTTTTAGAGCCCAGTCCGCCAGGCGGCAAAGCGCACCTACTACACTTCTGTTCACTGAGCTGCATCACGTGACAGGTGTGGGAACTGGGGCAGAGAGAGGCTCCGGGTCTCTACCTGCTCATGTGGAAATGCTGGGGTATTCGTGTCTGGGGGCTGCTGGCACAAATGACCGCAGCTTGGTGGCTTACGACAATAGAAACTGTTTCTCTCACACTTCCGGAGACTAGAAGGCCAACATCAAGGCGTCAGCAGAGCCACCCGAAGGTTCTGGGGAGAGCCCCTCCGTGCCTGTACCGGGCTCCCAGTAATGCCAGGCGCTCCTTGGCTCGTGGTAGCATAACTCCAACCTCGGCCTCTCTAGTGGTTTTTGTTTGTTTGAGGGGAGTTTTTTGGTCTCTAGCAAATAAAAATTATTAGTTTACTGTAAGACCCGTAGGTATTAACAACTGACTTGGCCTTCACAGCTGACATGCGGCTTCCACACAACAGCGCACTGTGCAAAGTTCACCGGAGCCTCGCTGGACGCGGCGGCCGGTGGCCTGTCACCGAGAGTCCAGCCGCGGCTCGAGCACCTGGTTCCGAAAGAGGGCTTCTGCCGGGTTCTGAGGTTCCGCTCCTCTTCCCTGTCCCTCCTGTAGAGTCTCTGTGGGGACGGGACTCGCCTCGTACTAGGTCAAGAACCCTTTCAGAATCCCCACCCAACCTACACATTAAATCTCGTGGGGCTTTTTTTATTTAAAAAAGATATTTTTTTCCTTTATGGATTTGAGAGAGAGAGGAAGGGAGAGAGAGAAACATCGCCTCCTGCACGCCCCGCACTGGGGATGGGCCCACAACCTGGGCCTGGGCCCTGACCGGGAATCGAACCGGCGACCTCTTGGTGCAGGGGTTGACGCTCAACCACTGAGCCACAGTGGCCAGACTCATGGGGTTTTTTAAAAGACAGCGAGCCCTCATGAAATCTTAGAAAATTCTGAAGGAAAAAAAAAAAAAAAAGACAGAGGCCTCGACTTCTCTCCCGAACAACAGAACCTGACTCTCAGGGAACAGAGCCCCGGGGTTCAGATCGCTCCTGTTACGCAGCCACCTTCTCTGTGGCTCTGTCTTCTCCTCTTCAAAGAAAGCGCCAGCCATGCAGCATTGGAGTTGGGGCCACCCGACGCCAGTACGATGTTATCTGAACTAATCACAACTCCAAAGACGCCGTTTTCAGATAAAGCCACTCTGTGGTTCCCAGTGGACAAGGACTTCGGGGAGGACTCTGAGCTGGGACTAGATTAGGAGTGACCCACTCATTGTGCCTTCTGGGGACCCACTTGGTAAACACGGGTTACACCGACCCTAACATACACCAGGCAAGGCCGGGGTGTGAGCTGGGCCCTGCCCTCGCAGACACAGCCCTGAAGCGTGGGCGTGAATGTCCCTCTGCCTTAGGAACCGAGAGGGACGGTGACGAATGAGGCCGGGCCTGGAGCGCCAGCAGCGGCTGGACGGTGGGGCAGAGACCGAGCCGAGGTCCCGGCACAAGTGCCTGGGGTGTGGGTTCTGTAGAGATGCTCCAAAGACAAAAAAACTTACACATTTCATTGGCAAGGAAAGAAAACCTCTAACAGGGACCCAAATGATCCAAGGTGGACTTCAAGACTCTGGCTGAGGTGGGCAGGGCCAGGGAGGAGTCTGGAACACACTGAGTGCTGAAACTTCTTTACAAAAGTCGCCTGTGTGGGTGTGTACCAACAGGCATAGACATCCAGCCCATGTCTCCTCTGTGACATTGTAACAGCTTGCCTTAGAAAAGAAACCCGACAGGCAGATAGATGCTCACCCTCCGTTCAGAACTCCACCAGGGGAGTCCCCTTCCCACCACCAGCCCCCCAAACACACACACACACACACACACACACACACACACACACACCAGCTTCCCTCCCGGCTCCCATTTGCACCCAGCCAAGGGCTGAGTGAAGGGAAAGGTGAGAGAAAGAGAAATAAAAACGTCTGTAGCAACAGCCAAGAGAGAAGGCAGCCAAGACATAAATCACCTTTGCACTGCTCACAACAGGCTCCCCTCTGCTTGATGGCCAGGGCACAGTCTCTCGACAGCGTGGGGCACGTCTCTCTCTTACAGGTCACTTCCTTGTTCTGGGCAAAAAGAGACAAGACAAGAAACATTTGACATCAACTTCAAACAGGATCCCCAGAATGCTAGCACATGGCTGAGGTTTCCCTAGCCTCCTTCCCCCCATCTCGCCCTTGTCTGGGCAAGAACATTCTGTGATAGCAAATAGGGTTTTGCTCTCCCTGGCACAGAAACACCCATCCAGGAACACAGGACTTGTTCAGATTTAAGGGCAGACGAGAGGACGTGAAGGTTCCCTCCGTTACCAGCCAGCTTACCCTGGATAACCGAACGCCAGGAGAGAGGCCTTCTCCCGCCTGTTCTAAGGTTTCCTTCCAGCATGCACTATAGAAACCATAATATTTGCCTAAATCATATTTTGCCCATTGGGCTACCTGGGCCAGGGCTGCATCGTGAGAACGAAAATATTTGCACACGGCCGTCCAACCATCCTTAATAGTGGAGTGCATTAAAATGCAGCAATCTAAACTTCCAACTCAAATAATGACGACGTTGAGTATTGAACCGGCTCAGTAAGAGAAAAAAAAAATATTCCCCGTGCCAGGCAGAGACACAGTCGCCAGTGTTTCGTGGCCGCGGGACAGCTGCATTATATTAGCGCGGACGCCGAGGAGAGCGGGTTTAGCCTGAAAGGTTCGCTCTTAGGATGACTTAAAAGAGACCCAAACGGGACGGATATGCCTGTTTGCAGCCTGAATGTCCAGGAACCAACATCACCATGTCACGGGGCTTCTAGCAGATCTGAGCTTTCTAACGAGTGTCTACTGGATGCTAGGAGCTGTGGCTTTCCTTCTTCCAATCCTCCGAGACACGTATCACGAGATCCCTGCTTACAAACCAGCAAACTGCTGCTCAGAAAGGGGGCGGGGCGGGGCTTTTCCCAGGCTGCACAGCTTCGTGCACTGGGTTGGAGGTGGAGCTCACAGGTGGGCGCTGGCCAGGCCCCCCCCCCCCAGCAAGGCTGGGACCAGCGCGTTCATTGCCTGATGGGGGCTGATCGGAAAGAAGCGCCGACCAGTTCGCTCATCTCCCACCTTGAGAGGAACCTGGAACCCTCCTTGAATCCATGCAGGAGACGTCCTGACTCAGCTCTGACAATGTCCTTGGGAGACTCACAAGTGTACCCAGTCTGCTTCAATGTCATTTCTGGTCTGAAACCAAGGAGGGGTGTGTGTGTGTGTGTGTGTGTGTGTGTGTGTTGGGGGCTGGGGGTCCCAGCCCTAAATCAGTTCTAAGATGACACATGGGCTTCTGTGCCACCCTCAAAGCCCTCAGGAGCTCCCCAGCCCATGACGACCCTCCCAGGGTCTAATTCTATAATGAATCCCCACTGCCATCTCCTCCTCTTTCAAGAGACCAGACTGCCGAGCCCTCCAGAACCCCACTTGCTCCAGCTCACTGATTACTGCCCCCCAGAGTAAGGTGTACGAAGCCTGGGGCCTTCCTGTCCCAACCGTTTCTCCAGCCTTGCTCTGTCCCCAACTTCCTGGCTTTGCAAGGCCACTGAGGCACGGGACAGAGGAGCCCAGCACGGGAAGAATGTCACTCAAACCTGTCCACTGGGTGACATGCACAGAGCATGCCTGGCATGCCGGGTAAGGACCCCTGAGGCCATCCCAGGACCCGCATGGCTCTCAGAGAGAGGGCATCCGTCCTCAGCCACCGTACCCACGGCCGTGGGGCTGGTGTGGAGGTCTTTCTGGTTTTCTATTTACTAGTCGTCCATGTACGATTTTTGGCGGTTGACCTGGACAATCTGGATTCCTCCTCTTCCCCCTTCTGGGTGTCTGCTGAGTGGCAAGGGGGCTCATGGGACTCGTCTCGTTCATTCTTTAGAATCCCGTGAGGCCGTGGTCTTCACGCTGGGCTCCAAATCAGAACCCCGTGCAGTTCTTAACTAAGACTGGCCCTGCCTCCCACCCGCTGAAGCCCAGATGTGCTTTTCCTGAGCCCGGGCCTAGATGTTTATTTCAGGCTCCAAGGTCACTCCAAGGTGCAGCAGGGCTGACAACCACGGCTGGAGAGAGCATTCCTCTGGCCAGTGCAGCTGAGATGGCTCGGCATGTCCACGGGCCCTTAGTGAACCGCTGAGCTACCGTCCAAACCCAGGCGCCCTGCCCCCAGGCCCTCCAAAGCTCTTCCCTTCACCCTCTCTTCTTCATAAGGATTTTGGCATCAAGACTGTGAGTCATGGCCCTTCGATTTATTTTAATAATTCTCCTTATATTACAAATGCAATACATAGTTACGGTCCCAACACAAATTAAAGAAGCATATTTAAAAATAGAATAGCCCACTGTTCCACCACCCAAGGAACCCAGCGCCGTGATCGGGTAGGAATGCAACTTACAGCTCCTGCAGCCATGGTCTGACCCCGATGTGAGGTGCACGCCCTTCCCAGGTAGAGCATCACCCCAGCCTCACGCTCACCTGGCTGCCACCTCAGGGAAGCACCACTCCCCAGGTCACCTCCTCTCTGACGGCCAGACGCAGGCACAGGGAACCCAGCGCTCCCAGGGCGGTCAGAGAGGGTGCGAAGGCTCCACTTGGGGTTTGATAAGCAGGAAGCGCGCACACTCTTCAATGCAGGAATTCTGTGCTAAGTTAGAAACCTGGGAGCCAGTCAAGATCCATAACAGAATCCCAAGATTCATAATAAATAGCTTGTAATTACAGTCCAGCACAAAAGTTATTCCAACCAGATGGTTTGTGGACTCACATCTGGACTTTTTTTTGTACACACACAGGGAACAAACCTAACCCTTAGCTGTAGGTTGGTGGGGGTTTCTTACTTCCTTCTAATAACACTGGGAAGGATTTTTACTATTCTACCAAAGGTCACATTGGAGCTGCCACATCTGATCCTTTCCCTGGTGTCCAGTCGGCGTGGGCGTGGACACAGAGCACATGCTTTGAATCCCAGGCCCTCAAAGAAAGAAAAACGACAGAGAATCACTGGTGAGAGGCTGACCCCTCCATGCGCTCATTTGGGTCCCGCACTCACAGGGTGAACCCACGCACGGATTAAGACCGCTCTCTTCACTTTTCCTCATTTTGCCAAAAGACAGACACCCTGGTCCTCAAGCCAGTGGCTCTGGGGGGAGAGGCACACACACCCTCAGGAGCCCATCTCCACCGGCTGCCACATCTCCATGGGCACCCGTGTCCTCTGCTCCGGCTCAAGGTCACAACACATCCAGTTCACTTTTGCACGCGGGAAACATTTTCTGATGCTGGTTCACACTTAGCGCACGCTTTTATGTGGCAGGCTCTGTGCTAAGAATTTTATGTGCACCATGTCACCAAAATTCCTCATTGTCCCCATTTTATAGATGAAGAACCGAGGTGCAGAAACGCACCCAGGGTCCCACACAGACGTGTGTCTGATTCCCAAGGCGCATATGGAAAGCTGACCCTTTGCTACTCCCCAGCTGTCCAGGACACTCACAGAACAAAACAACGTCAGGCCCCGAGGCCCCAGGGGAGATGGGCACCTTCTCGTGGTTCCACACGTGTGCCGTGAGCCGTGAGCTCTCCAACTAGAGCAGGACATCTCCCAGGGGCCGTGTCATCACCAACCGCCGGAAGGTCTGCGAACACCAGAAGGCTCCTGGTGACGAGGGAGGTTGTACCACCTCAGACACCGACAGGTACCTGTGGTGCCAGCCACACCTCCAAAAGCCAGACGGGCGTCCTCAAACAGATCTTCCCCAAGGTTCTAGCTCAGGCTGGAGGCTCCCCCAAATCGAAGCGACAGAAAGGGTGGCAGATAGGAGCTGGGGAGAAATGTCAGAACCCTAAAATACCAGCCTCGCCAGCGCATGAGAGTCACACGCCTCACCACCTGTTTCCCTCGCTGTCTCTGTCTCCCCGCGTCCGTCACTTTCTAGGGTTGCCCGGCCTCGTTTGCATTCTTGTCTCCTTTCTGAAAGACTAAATATATCAAAACCCAAAATGTAGCCTCTGGAGACACATGAAATTAAGTGCCAACATGCAAAAATGAAAGGGGGCATAGGGAGTGAGAATGAAAAAAAAAATCTCCATGGCTGGCAACACAGCACTAGAAGGACGCCCGCCAAACCACAGCTCCCGCCACAGCCAAGTTCAAACCGGCTTCTGGCAAGTAGCTTGCTGTGCCAGAGAGGCGCCACTAGATGGCAGCACAGAGCTCCCCGCTCCCGGGCTGGGGAATCGTGGCCATGAGACCTCCAGGGGCCTTTGAGCGCTTTTCAGTGGCTGGTGTGTTGGGAAATGATCTCTTCCTGCTGGGGGGTTGGGGGGGGGGGGGCTGGAGACAGAGAAGATAACAAATCACCACTGTGAGATTTTCCTGTTTACTTTCCTCGGAGAAACCAGGAAAAAAAGAAATGCTTTCTGAGATGCTTTTTGTTCTCTGTCAAACCAATGTCCTAAAGATATTTTTTCCAAGACTCTTCCAGGACCAATCCTCTTATGCAATATGGAAATTATTACCTGATCTTCCATTTGTATTCTTAAGATAATAATAAGACGGGAGAACACCGCAGCCAGAACGGGGAGAGCGATCAGGGAGGGAGAAGGCAGCGGGCAGGTACGGGGTGTTTAGACTGAAATGCCATCGGAGTTCTGGAAATAAGGGTGAAAACCAAAATAGCTGGTGCCCTGTCGGCGGGTCCTCCGCAGCCACAGCGGGAGGGTGGCGGGCACAGGGCTCTCCTCCCCTAGAACATTACTTCCTTTCCACCCTCGTCACACTAAAGCAAACCTGGGGGGCAAACAGCTGTCATTTGCAAAGGAGCACGTTCGAAGGATCAGCCTCCTCTTTCAAAAAAATCAAGAAGTTGTAAGATTTTTTTTCCCGCCCAAATGAACAATACTCAGTGTGTCTCTGCGGCACACGGGCCAGGTAGTGTTAGTGTCATAAAGGGGGACACGGAGTACCAGTGGCTCTGTCCTATATTAGGGACCTTCCAGAAGGCCTGCCCTCCTAGAACAGGCACCGCCCCTCTGCCCTCTCATCGCC